AAATAATTTAATTTTTTTTTTTTTTTTTTATTACAGGGTGTTGGGCCAACTGCTCAACGAGCGGCGGTTATTGCGGCTGTAGAGTTACCTATATATGATTATACCAAGAGTAAATGTATGAGTATATTGGGAAATAGTGTTAGTAATCATTTCGTGTAAGTTTTTTTTTCATTAATATAGATATAACATGAATTATTATAAATATCTTTTCCGATTATTGATGAATTATTTTTAAATTGTATACTTCTTCACAAAGAAATAATTATTTACAGAAACAAAAATTGTATTATCTTGATATACTAATTTAAGTTATATCCATATTTATTAATATTAATATAAATTATTAATATACATGATATTTATTACATTATTAACTATTAATGCCAATATTAACCCTTATCCGGACAGCTGAAACTTTTCTTTGAATAACATATTGATTTATAATACAAAATATATCTATATGATTTTATTTGCAACTTGATTAGCTATTTTTTATGATATGAAACAGGATTGATAACTTATAAACTGCTATTATGTATGTATTATGTATATATACAAAGAATGCATTTGGTTAGTCACATGTAACAATAATATATATTAGATAATGAGTCTGAGTTTGTGATAAATCTAACATTTTCTAAAATCTGATATGGTTGTGATATGAGAGATTATATTTATATCTAAAAAACGTAATTATTACATAAAATATTTTTAAAATGTAAAATATAAGAAAATATTAAGAATAAGAGCTTGTGTAGAGGTATGTTTTGTATGCTGTACATGCTTTTGTTAATAGTGTGTCTGGACATTGTGATTTTTTTTATCATATATTACTCATGAGAATATGAAATGTTAATAATCTTTTAAACTGTCACTATCCGTCGAATAGATCAATCCGAGCGAGATGCTTAAAAATGGAAACTATTTATTGGCTGTTTATATCAACGTTTTCATCAAATTTTAACGTTAAAATATTGTTACCGAGAGATTTAATATCAGAGATATTTCCCTTTGGATAAAACTGTAGAATATAAAATTATTAATAATTGTATTTGAAATTATTGTCAATTCAATTATATTACATTTGTTTTGTATCTGCGGTTCAAAGAATTATTGTGCGATTTTCCAAGTATTCCATATATTGCACATTACGAAAGAAAGGAGTAGAACTCTCTTAAAATTGAAATTTTATTTCCAGGTTCTTTGACATTGTCATGCGTATGGACACATGCGATAGATGGATTTTGAGATGACCAGAGAGGCTTGACACGGAAGCTGTGTTCAGCACTCTGTGTTCAATTCAAGAATAGTAGAAAGACAATTGTCGTATATGATGATTATATATGTTAAACTATCTTGCAAAGATCTTTGGATTTAGCGTTTATGCATTTTTTAAGGTTTTGGGAATTTCTATATTACTAATTGTCTACCGCATAACTTCCTAATTTTTCTATCGTAAAAGAATCCTTATGCTTTTATTTTCGTCCGTATTTGAAAATCTACTTTTGCTATATTAAAACATTGATTATCATCGCGTGGACATGATATACATTCTTAACTTTTTATAATGCCTGGATAAGGGTTAATTTTATTCTATAATAGAAAATTTAAATTTTAAAACTTTAAAATCAAATATTAATGTTAAGGAAAAGCTACTAAGAAAAGATAAATTAAAATTTTATGTAATTTTTAATCAATTTAAACTACAAGTTTTTTTAAATATTGCAGACTAAATGTGTTTAAATTAAATATGATTGTATTTTTTAGATCTAGTTTTGTAGCTAGTATGGGAAGTGCCGTAGCTTCAACGCCTATAGATGTAATTCGCGTAAGTAAATTATTTACACAATATAACTCATATATATTTTTTTTAATGATTTTTATTTTCTTTAGACTCGATTGATGAATCAAAGAAGAGTGCATAGTGCAGTTGGTAAGAGAGCCTCATCCTATATTTACAATGGCAGTATAGATTGTTTAGTTCAGGTAATTTTATTTATATCTTAGATATTTTATGTGTGCGTGTGCATAGTTTTCAAGTAAAAATTTTTCTTTTTTACATAGACAATTAAGAATGAAGGACTTCTAGCATTATACAAAGGTTTTATCCCAACATGGTTCAGAATGGGACCGTGGAATATTATATTTTTTATTACTTATGAACAATTAAAACAATTGGATCATTTGTGATATATCCTTGAATATTATATTAAACATCTGAATTCTTCATCAAGATCTGGATACACTTTTATAAACATCATTATATCATGTATTTAATATTACTATTTGTTAATCTCAATCATATATAATTTGTTGATTGTGAAAGTGTTAATTAATTATCTTAATATAGAAAAGAAGTGATACTTAAAGCAGACAAACAAACTAGTACTTTTCAACAATAAGGTAATTGTAGAAACGACTGTAAGAAAAAGAAAGTAAAGGAATCAGGAAAGTTCAAGAGCCTCCCAAAATATAAGCTTCCATAAATCTTTTTAGTTAGTGATAAAAACTTCGAGATATACATTCGACACATTGTTATGCAATTATAATTGTTACATATTTATTACCTAACAGTAGTATAGATTTACTGTTATACTTCATGTATGTTATACTTTAATTATCTGGACATATTTATGCATAGATTCAATTTTGCACAGAAAAGTTCTAGTTCAGTAAATTAATAATAGTTTACTAATAGTTTATTAATTTTACATTTTAAATTGCCATATGTAGAAACAAAGACTCAAGGTTCTTGATTGATTTATTGCGATACTTTGTACAATACTAGTCATTATTATCTACATAAATATGATGGTGAATATGAATATAATGATGAATTATTTTACTTTCAGTATTTTTACGTAGCATTTATTGTCATATTTCCAACTAACTAGTCACTAAAAGAGTCTTATATAAAATTATATAAAATATAATTCAAAATTCATCTGTTAATTTTGTATATAATATATAATATTATGTGAGATGACCTTGTTTTATTAAATTATTATTTTTTTAAAACTTTAATTAGTATGTACATTTTATATTATGATTGTATTATATACTATGAATTCCAAATTTTTTTTTACAGCGATTACATAAAATGATATATACAGATATAATTTTGCCTGATTTAATTTCTTTAATAATTTTATATATAATACAAACATTTAGACCATGTATTTCTAATATTTATTATTCTTAATTTAATGTTTATTTTGTAACATGAATATTTGTGAGTTGATGATTCTGCATTAAATATATGATATTACAGAATAATTTATCACAATCTGAAATTATTTATTTTACTTTATTAAGAAAGACTGATGCATAATTAAGAGATATTTCGCAAAAAAAATGGAATGTAATTATATATCACTACATGATATACAAAATATATATCACATAAATTACATATTATCACATAAATTACATATTAGAATTTTAATATTGATGTGAAAATTTGTATTTTAACAAAGGAATATAAATTTGATGTATTCAGCTATATTTTTTTCATATACTCGATATATATATATATATATAAAAGTGTATATTTATATGAGAACATAAGTATACCTTTATGCACCTTTATGCACAAGGAAAAGAAGAAATCGCGAAAGTTACAAAATACGTTTGTATGTATAAACAGAAGTATTTGATTTTTTGCAGATAAAGTACATATATTTCAATAGTTGGAAAGTTTACGATATACTTTAGTCACCTACTGAAGGGTAATCTACAGAAAAAAAGTCGAAGAATTTGATATAAACATATAGTATCACTGTTGTGTATATTTTATAAACACTATATGCTTCTAAATTTTTTAATACTCTTTTCAGTATTCCTTTGTGTTATATACAAATTTTAATATTCTAATAAGTAATAAAAATATATGTTAGGCCTATATTCTATTTACATAAAATTTTCTTTATACATTGGTAATCATTTGTAATACTGTGTCAGTGATGACATTCCCATATGATGACTTTTTTGTCTTTTCCGCCTGTTATCATCAGATTAGCAGCTACGGCTAAAGCGCAAAGTGGCCCTATAAAAATATATATGTCATGGTAGTCAATACAATAAATTTATTATATAAATTTAATTATATAAAACATAAAAGGAATATATATAAAATAAATTGATGTATGAAAATTTTTTGCTGTAAATAACAAATTATTTTAAATAAATTTATCATGCTATAGCAGTATTGATACAATATTTACCATCGTGACAATGTACTTGTGGAATGAATGCAGCCTCCTGATGATTCCATATATTAAGATTTCCATTGTTATCGCCTATCAGCAAGAATGTATCCATCCATGTTAATGTCAACGGTATGCTTTCTAGGCTGACAGAATATATCTGCGTACTTGTTTGAACATCGATTATACTTAATATTCTATCTTCTCCACATGATATCACACTACTGCATTGTTTATCAAATATTATTGCGTTTACTCTGCATGTATGACCTTTAAACAAATATTAATGATAAACTTTCCCTATATTCTTTTATAATTAAAAAAAATAACTTTCTAACAAGAAAATATTTGTACATTATACATGCTGAACATTATTTTTTTATTTTTTTAATAATATACATATTTCTTAATAGAAAATTTTATAGAAATAATAAATTTCCAAAATAAAGAATAATATATACATTTCTAGCCTATGAATGATTATAAATGGATAAAGATTTATGTAACACAACCATTAATAATCTTAAGAATAGAAGGAGGAAAGAAAAAAAAGATAAGGAAAATTACCTTTAATGGTAGATTGCAAACTATAACTGTTCATGTTCCACAAACACAATTCGCCATCTTCTGTACCGGACACCAATATAGTATCGTCTCTTTAATTAATATAAGAGTTTATTGAGAATTTATAGATGTAAATACAATAGAAATAAATATATCATATATATTATTAATATATTTTACGCTACAACACATAAGAGCGATAACTTACCCCGATATATTAATACATGTTACTTTAGAATCATGATCCAATTGCGCTATGAAATATTCCGTAGGTTTAATCTTTGATCCTGAAATATATCCATGCCAAACTTTTGCCGTGCAATCCCAAGATCCGGATATAATCACTTGATGAATAGGACTCCATGCTAAACACGACACTGCATCCTCATGTCCTTGCAGGACATCAATTACTCTGCCGAATTCTATATCATAGAATATCCTTAAAAAAAAAAAAATATCCTTAAAGTTTGCAAGATGTAAAATTATTTTAGAAGTATGTATTTGTGTGTATGTATGTGTATATTGTATCTTTTATTTCAAATTCAAGATGTATATAAACTATATATAAAAAAAAACTTATTTTTATTATAATTATTAAAATTTATTTTTATTATAATTATTATGTATAGAATCTGATCACTATCATATTTACAAGCTGTTATCCCACGATCCTGCTACAAGAATGTTACGTTGCGACAATGTATAATATGAAATACAAGATGATAATGATAACGAAGATAAAATAACGCTACGTGTCAGTTTTTTTTCGCTTATGTTATACAATTTAAGCATTCCATCTTGGCCTACTGATATAATTTCATTATTCGTTATTTCGTTATTTTTTGTATAATACTGGTGACGCAGTCTTTATGTGCTTGAAACACTACTAGTTCAGTAAAATTAATTGATTTTTCTTTTACGCACATATTGCCTGTAGAATTAAAAACAGCATTTAGTAAACTACGCCCATATGCATCTGTAAAAATGATTAAGAAAAAAAAGACAATACCTGAAGTTATTGATTCTGACGAAGTCAATAATAAAGTTTCGCTGTATGATAAATTCGGAGTTGATGTCAAACGTTTCGGATGAGGTAGAGTGAAGACTTGCTTCGGTATCTGACCAAACTCCATAATTTGTATTTCGAGTCCATGCCTGTCATTTATATCTCGTATAGTATCTAAATCCACTGCCCCCTCATAGCACAAATGAAAAAATACTATACAAAAGTAAAAATATAGTTATTTTGGAAAAAACAACTATGGACTTAGTTTATATATTTTAATTACGTTTTAATTATATATTAATTTGATTTTGACTGAATGATTTAGATTTTTACGCGTACCCAACATAAATAAAGAAATGTAAAGATTTGCAAATTCTTACCATTGTCAGCTTTTTCAGCTTCAATTCCTCTTTGTTTGTATCCAAAGATTAAATCAATCCAATTATGAAGATTTTGAGAAACATAATCGCTTTCTAAGGCATTTCTCAATTGTTGTACAAAATCAGCTGGTCCTAAAATAGTTATTATTATTCGTAAACATAAGTTATCAATTATTCGTAAACATAAGTTATCAATGATGTAAAAAATTCAAGATAAACATTTCTCACTACCTTTGGCCCAAGGAGGTAACTGTACATCACCTATCTTTGTACCGTCATGCCGATAGCCAAAATCGATACCATAAGTATTCACTAGAAAGTCACCACCATTGCTTATGTCATAAAACTCCGGTATCAGTTCTTTAAAGTCAGACATGTTCACCAAAACATTTTTCCACACGTCGGCTATACTGTTAGGTGTTTTTGATGGTAAAAGTGAAACATAAAATCGTTTCTGCACATTTGACAGAGTATTACATATTTTTACAACATTTGAAGCATTTCTTATTATTTCTGCCTTTTCTTATGAAATAAATATTAATTTTTCTTAAATTAATCTTAAATTAATTTTTCTAAAATTAATTTTTGTTAAATTTTAATATAATAAATCTTTCCTTTCTTCACATGTATACATGAATATGCATTGCTGTTATTTATTAATATCTTAAAGCAAATAAATATTGGAAAAAATTCAATGAATATGGTAAATACCTGTTGAACATTCTATCTGGATGATCAAATCTTCCGTTTTGAAGACAGAGCATATATTGAGGATATTTCCGTACTAAGTAAAACAATACAAAACCCGGTGCACTATAATGAGAACCATATAAAAACTTTGGTTCAGACATTTCTGAATATCGTTCCTATAATAATATAGGAAATATAGAAACATAAAAAGGATTAATAGTATTTTTTACATATTCCATAAAAAATAAAAATAACTAAAGCATACGATAGCATAGAACAATGAAATCTAATATATATAT